TACGTGATTTTTATTTTTGAAGGTTTCTTTCTGGCTGCTATATTGAGAAACTGCAGGAAGGCATGGTCAGAATAACAAGAGTCCAGTTATCTGGCTATTGCAGGAGTCACCACAAGGGATGATGCATTTTCACATCAGCTCAGGCTGGTGTGAAAGCTGTGAGATTCTAGATGCATTTGAGGGAAGGGCCCATAGGATTTGGTAATGAATTGAAAGCAGGTGAGAGAAGAAAGGAGTAGAAGATGCCAAGGTTTGTGTTCTCCACCTTGACAAGTGGAAGACAGAGTTAAAGGAGGCAAAACTGGAAGGTAAAAATGACAGTGAGAAGGCTGTGCTATGGAATAAGGAGAAATGAGGAGCTGAATTAAGGTAATGGCAGTGAGAGGGTGGAAATAGCAGGCATCGTCCAAAAAGTATCCAGGAGGCAGAGGTAACAGGACTGGGGGCTGAACTGGATTTGCAAGGTGAGAGATGAGCAGGTTTAAGATGACATCCAAGACTCTGGCTTGAAGTGGGTATTATTATTACTGACATCACAGGAAAATGGGACACAGAGAGTTTCTATAAACTGTGCAAGGTCTCAGAGGTTAATACAATAATTTCTAGAATCAGGATTTGAACTTGGATGTGTTTGACCTTACAGCCTGAGCTCCTAACCGTTGCGTGGGGCTGATCTAGAAGAAAGGAGGCTGCAGCCTGGAAAGGGGTTTACAACGCTGTCTGTCTCCGTCCCTCCGTTAGCTCAGGCAGGCTGTGTCTAAGGACAGTCCCCTCAGACAGGCAAGGCAGAAGGGGGAGTGAAGCCAGTAGTTTAGCCAGGAGTCCTTCTGTTGCCAGAACTACATGCTATGTGCTGTGCTCTGTGCTCTAGAAATAAGAATGCTAGACAAGTCCCAGGCTTTCAGGTGCTGCTAAAGATGATATCTTCCTCAATTTATTAAGGAAGGGAATCCTCAAGTCTAGCTCAGGTGTGCCTTGAGCGTCTTCCCAAGGAAAGCCCTTGACTCTGTTCCTGCCCCTCCTGTAATACCTCCTTTCCTAAAATGAAAGCAGGGAGACAGCCTGCTGTGGACCTCGCATTACATTCCTGTCTAGCTGCTGCCTCATCACTCTTCTCTGAAATGTTCTGCTGTCTCCCTATCTTTACCTGCTCTTTTCTTTTGAACCCACACAGGCTTTCATCGGCTCCAGATCCACTGTCAGGCCATCTGTGACCCCCATACTGCTAAGTTCAACTGTCAGGAGCTTTTGGCTCAACTGGCCATTCTCTCCTTGTAGCACTTTGTTTTAAACTCTAGGTTTTACAGTTATTTAGCTTTGGTGAGGCCAAGAAATCACAAAATGACTGCCATGAAAAATATTTTTTATACTCTTTCCCAGGAGAAAAGGGCCTGCCACACTACCGGGGGCCACACAGAGAAGCATCAGGGGCAGACCGGAGGTAGAGAGAGAAGGGGAATGTGAGCAGGCACCTTTATTGTGGCTTTCACAAGGAGGGCTGGGCAACACGGCATGAGCAGGCTGAGGATTGGCTGGTTTGAATCATTTCAGCAGGCCCTGGGGCATTGGGGCTGTCCCTTATTATCTGGTACCTGGCTCTAGAATGGTTAGGGCAGGTAAGTAGTGGCACAGAGTATGAGAACCCAGTAAAAAAGGTGGTTAGAGGTACGGGTTCTGAACTAGCTGGTGCACATTTGAAAGACGAATTTCTTTGTTAGGAATTAGTTAATCCTAGGAGGGTCATCCCTCCAGAGTAGTCATTATGCTCTGTATGTCAAAGCATCGGAACACAGAAAATAAAAGGCACAGCTCATTTTCCCTTTTACATTTGCTCTCAGTCCTCTTTTGCTGATAGTCTCCCTCTCATCGATTATCGCTGGAACTCCCCACATCTCAGTTCTTCAACACTTTCTCTTCCCTGTCTCTCTTCAGATGACGTCATGCATCCCCACAGCTTTAAGTAATACTCACACATCGATGACTCCCAAATTTGTATCTCTACCCTCAAACTCTAGACCATCTATTATCCAACTGCCTACTTGATAGCTTCACTTGCACGTCTAATAGGCATCTCAAACCAAACATATTCCAAGCATAATTCTTGATTTCTACTCCCTAATCTTCATCTCTCCACTTAAATAAATGGCACTTGCATTGCCCTAGAGACTCAAGCCCTAAACCTAGAAATTTTACTAGATTTTTCTATTTTTCTCAACCTAGGTATCTAATTTGTGAGCAATTCCCATAAGGTCTTTTTTTGAGAATTTAGGTGGAAAGACATTATGTGTTCGTGGACTGGAAGACTAAATATTGCTAGATGGCAGTATTTTCCGATGGCTATACAAACACAGCACAGTTCCTATCAAAATTCCAGGTGCCATTGTGTGTGTGTGTGTGTGTGTGTGTGTGTGTGTAGAAATGAATGAGCAGAACCTAAAATTCATATGGAAATGCAAGGGAGCCAGAATAGCCAGCCACACACACACCCCACATGCACAGAGACATAACACAGACACAGGCACACATGCAAAATCTTGAAAAAGGACAAAGTTGGAGTATTGACATTTCTTGATTTCAAAACTTACCATGAAGCTACTGTAATAAAGTTTATGGTACTGACATAAAATAGACATATAATTCAATGGAATAGAACTGAGAGTCTAAAAATAAACATATACATCTATGGTTAACTGACTTTTGGTAAGTATGCCGAGACAATTTAATGGAGAATGAATAATCTTTGAAACAAATTGTGCGGGACAGTTGGATGTCCACACATAAAAGACCGCATCTGGAGCCTTAACCTCACATCATACACAAACATTATCCCAAAATGTATCAAAGACCTAAATATAAGAACGAAAGCCATAAAATTCTCTAAAAAACCCCATCGATGTAAAATCTTTTGTTACTCTGGATTAGGCAATGGTTTCTTATATATGACACCTCAAGTATAAGCAACAAAAGACAAAATAGATAAATCAACTTCATCAGCATGAATTGTGCTTTGAGATTAAATTACATTAAAACATTTAGGCTTCAAAAACCTATCAAGAAGCTGAAAAGACAGTCTGCAGACTGGAAGAAAGTATTTGCTAAGCATGTATTTGATAAACAGCTTGGCAGTTCCTCAAAACCTTAAACATAGAGTTATTAATACCATTTAACCCGCAACTCGTATATATATAGCCAAGAGAACTGAAAACATGTCTACCCAAAAACTTGTATATAAATAGAATTACTCAGAATAGCCAATAAGCGGCAGCAATCCAAACGTCCAACTGTTGAATGAATAAACAAGATGTGGTATAGCCACACAATGGAATATTATTCAACTGTGAAAAGGAATGAAGTGCTCATTATGTGCTATGACACAAACTAATCTTACAATAGTATGCCTGGTGAAAGAAACTAGACACAAAATGCCATATATCATCTGACTCCATTTAAATGAAATATCCTGAATAAGAAAATTAATAGAGATAGAAAGTAGATTAGCAGTTGTCAGGGTTTGGAGAGATGGGGAAGGGGAATTGGGAAGTTTATGCTAATGGTACAAGGTTCCTTTTTTGGGTGATAAAAATTATCTAGGATTAGATAGTGGTTTGGGTTGCACAATTTTGTGAATATATTAAAAACCATTGAATTGCGCCATTCAATCATCTGTGTTTTAAATATATACATATACATGCACTCACATACACACATAATTCTCTATATGTCCACTGTACTACAATAAAATGTTGAAAAAAATTAATAAATTTAAAACGCAAATTTTGTACATATATAAAACCTTCAGTAGACTACTTCTTACCTCTACTAGCCCCACAATTCTAATTCAAACTATCCATGTCTGGATAATATTCCTCACTGATCATCCTGCTTCTAATCTTGCCCCGCCCACTCTTCTTCCCAATAACAGTCAATGATCTACACCAAATCTGAGTCCTCTTTTAAAAATGTAAGTGAGCCCTGACCAGCGTGGTGTGGCTCAGTTGGTTGAGCATCTTCCAGCAAAGCAAAATTTCACAAGTTCAATTCCCCACTGGGTTGTGGCCCAGTCCCCAGTTGGGGACATGCGAGAGGCAACCAATCAAAGTTTCTCCGTTTCTTTCTTCCTTTCTCTCTCTCTAAAAATAAATAAATTGTTAAAATCTTTAAAAAATAAAAATGTAACTGAGATTATGCCATTCGGATTCGGATCTCCACTGGCTTTTCATCATACTCAGCTGCTTTACTTATACCAGATTTACATGTATGGCTCTGACCAATTTGCCTTGAAGAAATGGTTCCATGGCTCACACAATTTTGAAAGCCTTTTGGAGGACAAAATAACTGACAGTCATGTATCCTGTCCCTTTTTGCCTTCAATCATGAAAAGGCCTTGGGTGGGGGGAAAAATCTGGGGACAAAGTAGGAAATGTAGGAGATAAAAGAAGACCCACGATTGGGCGCCCACTCAACAGAGCCAGTTCTCTGCTCCCTCTGTCTAAACCTCTTAGTAACAGGTAGTGCAAGTGATGGGTACATTTGGTCACAGCACTCAAAAGAGCTTGACTACTTTACCTGCTCAGTTAGCTATCAGATATTTATTGAGAACATAGCTCTGTGCTACTGAGCACTACCTTCGAGTGTCTGATGCCCAGAGTTCTGGTCCAGCTGGGACAGATGGTGTGGATTGTTAATTTGACAAACAAGATTGATTTTCAGGGGCCTACTACCGAAACCATGGAAGGCTCCATGGGAGAGACAAAGATAACTACCAGTGTGGGTAAGTCAGAGGACTGCTTCACATTCAGTAAAGGCTGTTAGAAAAAGAGGTAGAGCTTCTAATTCAGACTGATAGAGTGCCCGGCTTCCTCTTATCCTATCTTCCCTCTCTGCCAGGGCCCACTGTCTCCCCTAAAGATTTATTTACGAGTCATTTCCGTTTTTATGAGTAAGCAAATCATGACACAGAAATTTCAGAAGGTCCTGAGGCTTTCAATTGTTTGTTTCAGATCCGATACAGAACATGTTCCTCCTTCTGCTAATTTTGAGCCTGGGAACGCAGCTTCATCAGACAACAGGTAAGAATGGACAAAGGGGGGAGGGACCTGAGAAAGAGGAGCAGGTGATGGCCCCTAGCTGAAGCCAATGATTTGAATGTGGTCCTGAGGCTGAAGGCTTTCTTTGAGGGGAGGTGTGATTGCTGCGTGTTAAAAGCACAGCGAAAAGAATGGTGGCTTGCGCATGCCCATGTTCCTGTCTTATAAAAACAGAGACTGAGCATGTTGGTCTATCTAGTCCCACTCTTCAGTGAAGGTGGGGACAAGGAGACAGAACCATTCAGACCATGTACCTCTGGACTAATATAAGAGGGCATTGGCTGTTTGTCCTGAAAAGGGAGGTGCCCTGTACCTGTCCCCTCTCTTCTGAAAAAGAGAATGAAGAGACAAAGGTCAGGGGGACACCTAGAGGACCCTGTTACTCTAAAGAGTCTTTTGCAGACATTCCTCTGATTATTAAACATTCATTGGAGTTCCTCTTTTAAAAAGCAACAGTAATAGCCATTGGCCATTCGCATACTAATTGTGGATTACTTGAATTGGAAAATCAGTCTTTCTAACCTCTAAGTGTGTAATGCACCTTAATATATGGCTTCAGGATATTAAAGAAAGGAGTTCTACCAGAAGGTGTGGATGGGCAGGAAGGAAAGCAGTTTCAGGGTTTGTTGCCCTGCTAGGCAAGTTAATTCAGACCATTTGAATGTGCTCTCAGGATGGTGAGTGCATTATTTTGGGTGAAAACCAGGAGATAAGAGAGGAAGACAGAAGTGGGCACAGGGGATTAAGTCCTTGATGACAGCAGCTCCAATCCCATGGGAAGCCATCCCGCATTCTGCCTTCTATTGAGAAAGAATGGCTTCTTTGGCACCGGTAACCGTTTGAAGAGCTTCTCCCTTTCTTCCAGGTGGTTCTGAACTGTTCTTTGCCCAGTCACATCCCTCTTCCTCCCTTGGGCTGGCAGCCTGGGCTGGTAATAGGGAGCCATCTTCGGAGAACACCCTAACATTCTGCTTACTCCAGTCCTGCCCTGCACTGACAGCTAAAGAAATACTTCATGTTTCCTTTCTAAGGCACCCTGCCCGGCTCAGATCTTAGAGACATCTAAAAGAGCAAACACAAGCTCTTCTAAAAGGGAAAAGGGCAAGGGCAAGCTCTTCCTTGCTACCGAAGAGCTTTCAGTTTCCATAAAGTGATAAAACCAAAAGAAGGGTCTGAAGCTGATGTTCCCAGGCTGCTGACAGGACTGGGGACTCTGGGAGAAACCTTGGGAATTGTGCAACCTCTGTTTCTAAAGATTTTATTTTTTAAAATTTAGTTTTTGAGAATGTGGAAGGGAGGGAGAGAGAGAAACATTGATGTGTGAAAGAAACATTGGTTGGTTGCCTCTTGACCTGGCCCACAGCCAGGCAGGTGTCCTGACCAGGAATAGAATCAGTGACCTACCGATTCACAGGCTGGAGCTCAATCCACTGAGCCACACTAGCCAGGGCTGATGAGCACATTTTTACATGCTTGTTGACCATTCATATATCTTCTCTAGTGAAGTGTGTATTCAAATTATTTGACCAATTTTAATTGGGGGTTTAATTGTTTTTTTTAAATTGGTCTTTTCTTATTGTTAAGTTTTAAGAGTTTGTTATAATTTTGAATGTAAGTTCTTTATGAATTATGCAATATACAAATACTTCTCCCTATTTGTACCTCACTCTTTCATCTTTTCACAATGTTTTTTGCAGAGCACAGGTTTTAATTTAATGAAGTTCAGCATGTCAGTGCTTTCTTTTATGGATTGTGCTTTTGGTGTCGTATCTGAAGAACAGTTTATCTGAAGCTCAAAAGACTTTCTTTTGTGTTTTCTTCTAAACACTGATAGTGATACATTTTACATTTAGGTTAATAATTCATGTTGAGTTAATTTTTATATAAGGTCTGAAGGGGATTTTTTGTTTGTTTTGGGGGGGTTATTTTTTGCATCTGGACATTGAGTTGTCCAGCCCCATTTGTTGAAAATACTATCCTTCTTCCACTGAATTGTCTGTCTGCACAGTTGTCAAAAATCAATAGGCTATATTTGTGCGGGTCAATTTCTGGACCGTCTATTCTGTACTTTTGATCTACACCTATATCTTCCACAAATATCATACTCTTCTAATATTGTAGCATTATAGTTTTTTTCTTGTAGTTTCTTATAGTTTTATTTCAAAATCTAATGACATCTTATAAACCATCTTGTGAAACATTTAAGGGAAAAATATTTAGTTTTGTATTTTACCATGTCTTGGAGGAAAAATTAACCCAAATTTTACTCTTTTCATTGATATTTCCTTCTTTCTTTATCCTCCAAAGATTAATAAACACCAGGGGGACACGTGCCCATGGTGATGCTTGAGGGCCCTCTGGGGCAGGGGTCACTCCACTTACCCGATCGTCAGCCTCCAACATGACTTCTGCTGACCCCCAAGGTCCACACAGCAGGAGAACCAGGGTGGGGACAGGATTTCTAAGAGATGAGATGCCTCCATGCAGAGTTACCCACAAAGCGGTCCTTGAGTCAGGTGCCCAGGGCAGATGTCTGTCTTCAGAAACTGGAGTTTTCTGAAAACCATGGCTATGTAAAGCAGCCCCCAAGTACATTAGGTAAGGAGTATAAACAAGCCTAAAGTTCTGTTGTTAAATGGAAAAATATATATAAAATTAGCTTAAAGAGGAAGCTATCTTCAGAGGCAATGCAAATGATTCATTTTGTTGTTCCTGGAGCTGTGTCTGGTGTTGACTCCCAGTGATGCCTGACTGCAAGTAAAAACCAAAGTTACCCCAAGAACTGTCAAAAAGATGCCAGCATTATTGGTGTACCCTAATCCTATGTATGTTTCACTGGATTATATAGTGAATATCTTTTGTTAAAATATGTAGATTCAGTGAACCAATATAATATAAAATTATGTATATATTATGTAAATTTTTAAAAGGCTCCAGGAACATTACTCAAGGCATCTGCTTTAATGTGTCTAAGGAACCAGCATGTATGAATTTCTCATGCCCTGGTGAGTCCTTTACTCTTTAATATAGTCAAGGGCCCCAAATGAATGGGGAAAACCAGTTTTCTCTGCTTAATTTTGTAGTTGTGGAAACTTTCCAATTTTCTCCTTTGTTTGATAACTTCAGGAGTTCAGTGCTAGGTTGAAGCTTATTTTAATAACCATGAGGCATATAAAATAGAAAACAAATGTCTTTTCCTTAGCATGAAGATGAAAAGTATATCTACCTCATTCATGGATGCAGTACATGCCAGTGGATACATAGTCATATCTGTAAAGTTGTTAGGAGCATAGGTTTTCAAGTCACAGAGATGAATTTGAATTCCATCTCCATAAGTACCGCTCTTTAATCTTGGGCAAGTATATCATTTTTAAGGCTCAGTTTCCCCATCTGTAAGATGGGGATAGTAACTTCCACCTTGCAGACTTTTGGAAGCATAAATGAGATGATGATGTATAAAGGTTAGCCCAGTGTCAGGCTCATTGTATTTAATAAATGTTAACCATTACTTTACATCCTATTAAAAGTCCAAATTCAGGCCAGTGTATAAGTCTGCTTCTCAAATGTCAATGTGCACATGATCACACCAACAACATTAGGATGCAGGTTCTGCTTCTCTAGGTCTAGGGCTGGACCTGACTTTCTGCATTCTTAACTAGCTCCTAGGCGAAACTGAGGACACTTTGAATGGCAGGATGATAAAAGATGTTTGCAGATGCAGGTGTTTTAGTTGTCTAACCAATGGTTCTCAGTGTTCTCTGCCCATCAGAAGCTTCCAGGGAAATAAAAAACAAATTGATGCTGGCCTTAGAAAAGAATTAGAATTTTAATTTAAGGGATCCTAAGTGGGGCCAGGGCATTAGTTTGTTTTAAAAGCCTCCCCAAATAACAAGTACTGTTCTAGTTATTCTGAGCTACTCAGATACACAATTCATGTTAATGAATTTGCTAATTGCTCTTCTGAACATTAGCTGAAAAATGTCACCTGTCAGGGAGGTGGCATACTTTATGCCTGCAAACGTCGTACTCACACACCCTGTATGTACAAGGCAGATGGAGGAAGCAAGCAGAAAATGGATTTTTGCCAAAGGCCCAGACAGTAAAGAGGGGAGTTCTGCTCTATGCTACGGGGAGTTCCAGAGGAAGTTACAGGCGTTCTTCTCATAAAAGAAAAGCATGAGTGTGATAAATAATTTGTTAAATAAATTCAATAGAGACTACACCCAAAGTCCTCTAATTCATCTTCTTTTTTTCTTTTTTTAAATAAGCAAATTTATTCACAATTGTTATAGTTACTGATCCATGCTATCTTATTTTGGTTTCTTTTTTAAAAATTTGTATTGCTTTTATTTATTTTTCTTTTCTTTAATTGTTGTTCAAAGACAGAGGTCTGTATTTTTCCCCCATCCGTACCCCAACTCAGCCATTCCCACCTGCCTCCCCTGATCCCACCCCCTCCCTTGGTTTTGTCCATGTGTCCTTAGTTGTTCCTGAAAACCCTCCCCTTTTCCCCCTCATTATCTCCTCCCACCTCCCCTCTGGTTACTGTCAGTTTGTTCTTAATTTCAATGTCTCTGGTTAAGTTTTGTTTGCTTGTTTGTTTTGTTGATTAAGTTCCACTTAAAGGTGAGATCATATGGTATTTGTCTTTCACCACCTAGCTTCTTTCACTTATCATAATGCTCTCCAGTTTCATCCATGCTGTCACAAAGGGTAGGGGCTCCTTTTGTCTTTCTGCTGTGTAGTATTCCATCATGTAAATGTACCATAGTCTACTTCTTCTTATAGCTCAGACTCAGCAACTAATCTTCCTTGCAAGCCCTATTTCTCTTCCCTGTGTCTCTCTTACCATGTGTAATTAAAGAAGGGAGTGCTATGAAGAGAGTAAAAGTAGTGTAAATTCTTGAACCTGGTACATAAAAGATGGTTAATACATATTTGATAAATGAATAAATTTATAAGTATTAATCTTCAAGGAAGGGCAGATTTGGTGTCAAGTAGCTCTGTCTACATTTATATCTATATCTATATCTATATCTATATCTATATCTATATCTATCTATATTTTATTCCTCACCCAAGTTCATGCTCATTAATTTTAAAGAGAGGGGAAGGGAGGGAGAAAAACCATTGATGTGAGGAACATCAGTCGGTTGCTTCTCACATATACCTCAACAGGGACCGAACCTGCAGCCCAGGCATGTGCCCTGACTGGGGATTGAACTTTCAACCTTTTGGTTTACTGGATGACACCCCTACCAACTGAGTCACACCAGCCAGAGCAATGCTGTCTTAGGTTTAAGGGGACTTCCTAACTCAAGTATATGAAGACGATTCTCATCATAGAATGATATACCTTTAAGAGGTTCTGATTTTGGAGACTTGGGGTGAGAATTATAACAAGTGCTCAATGGATTCCAGAAAATGGAGCCATACAGGAAATTTGGAAGCACAACATCTCTGTTCACATATATCATCTCAGAGTATTCTCAACCTGGCCAAGTAAATGCAGGTGTGATTGGCATTGTTTTACACAAAAGCACTTGTGTTATAAAAGCACCTTGCCTCTCACCCAGATCCTGCATAAAAAAAGGCTGGGCAGATGGAACTCCTTTCTGTACCAGAGATCTCTGTTACAAAGGCACGTTAATGTTCTAGTAATGGTTATAACAGGGGTTGGAGGCAAGATGTAAATTTGTCAGTCATTTTTGATAAATCTCAAGTTTGTGGATAGCACTTACAATCAAGTATGCTGTGTGGTAATTAAGAATACCAGTTTGTGTGACATTGGGCAAATCATATTCTGATGAGAGAAAAACAGAAGTCAGTATGATTATGCTCATCTTTTCTTTCTCCCTCTCCCTCTTTCTGTCCTTTATTTGCCAAAACCTTAACTGGAACTTAGTATGTGCTAGGCACTGGAGGTATTAAAACAAGCTCAACCTGGTCACTGCCTTCAAGGACTTGTAAGATAGCAGAAGGAAAACCATGAGTAAGAAGACAATTGCAATGCGAATCATTTAAGCAACTTAGAGAAACCCAGAAATTGCTTATACCATAAAATCTGTTGCCAAGGATGGTCAGGGAATGGGCTTTCCTGCTTAAAAAAATACTATGGTTAACAAAAACTGGCCAAGTATTCCATATGTAGATTACCACTGTCCCAAGAATTAAAACAGGGTACAAAAGAAAGGAACTAGTGTTTGCTGACCACCTACTACCTACCAAAATAAGGTACTTCACATGTACCATTTCTCTTAGTTTTTCCAATACTGGGAGGTAGGTATTAATCTTGTGCCTTTATAAGTACAGAGGCAGACTCATAAAGGTTAAATAACAGGATCGAGATCAAAGGGCTCAAGATCCCAATGCAGTCAGAATGTGAACCCAGGTTCATCTGTCACTAAATCCAATGCTCTTCATACCACATTTTACATGGAAACAACTCCTTGAATAGCATATGCTTAGAAGCCTCCCCAATATTTATTGTAAGGTTGGCTTGACTGATTAAATTAATGAATGGATGCAGCAAGGTCTACTGAACATAACTTGATCTGATCTTGCATACCTCAGTCCTAATATGACTATCCATTCATTAATGATGGAAATAGCATAATTTTGTACAGTTTTTCACACTTTATTTGTGCACGCACTGCCTTCATTAGTTTGCCATGTTTGACTACACTTTAGGTTATTGTTTTTGTGAAATTCTTTAAATCAGTGCAGCTTTTATTTTTTGAACAAAATGACATGCCCCGTGGTAAATGGAAAACCAGCATCACTGGCACTGGTACATAGAGGATAAGAGCAAATGTAAATGCAGTGAAGGTAAAGTGGTGTCATTAAAGTCTACCCAGATCTATTACCTGCCTGGGAGCAGCCTGTTTTATTAAAAAGAAAAATATTCTTGTTAGAAGTCGGAGAGTCTGGTTGCAAATTATGTATAATTTCAAAGGTTGAAATAAAACTGAAGAGGAAATAAATTCCTCCTGGAATTTCCTGAATTCCTGAACAATCCAATTCCTTTTAGGCCCTCATTCTGCTCCATCTAAAATCACTTTTCATGCTTCTAGTAGTATGCACCTGGCATGTAATAAGTACATACTTAATAATAGTTGTATTCTTCCTTTCCCATTGTTGGTAGAAAATAAGCTTCTGTGATAGACTTGTATGATGTGGTGGTTAAGAGAAATTGGGATTTAGCAATACCTGGGTCTGATCCTGTGCAATCTTAGGCAAGTTGCTTAACCTTTCTGTGTCTGTTTCCTTTTCTAAAAAAGAGAATGGTTCTGCTTCACTGGTTTCCTGGGAAGACTAAGGTCATGTGTTAGCAGAGGCCTAACACATAATAAGAACTCAACATGATAGTTGTTATTATTACAATCACTGGTGTAAGGTAGGTGATATTTTGCAGAGAAAGATGTCATCTGATCCACATGAAAACAGTTGAGCCTGGGTGATAGGTGGTAGGAAAGCAGGCAGCTGTATGGGTGGGGTGTGTTGGGGGAAGAGAACTGTATCAGAGCAATGGATCAAGATGTCCACTCATGCCCAGATTGGATGAGGAGAGGAGAGAAGAAAGGCCAAGGGACGCCCGGATAATAACAGGTGTTTTCTAGAAAACATGGGTGGACTGAGTCTCCTCAGCTCCTACTCTGTACAGAACTGAAATGTGAAGGCAGACAATGGGAGAACATCTTGTTTTCTGTTCAGCTTTATTCACAGTGACAGTCCCTAAGGATCTGTACGTAGTAGAACACGGCAGTAATGTGACCTTGGAGTGTGATTTTTACTCTGGAAATTATCTGGAAGTTGAACATGTAACAGCCACTTTACAAAAGGTGGAAAACAACACATCCTTGCACAGTACCACTTTGCTGAAGGAGGAGCTGAAGGGGAAGGCCTTATTCCACTTCTCCCAAGTGCAAGTGAGCGACTCGGGGAAGTACCACTGCGTGATTGGCTTCGGGACCACCTGGGACTACAAATATCTGACTCTAAAAGTCAAAGGTGAGTAGTTTCAGGGACTGAAATCCATAGACCTCCAACGAGTTCAAGCAAAAGCTGGGAGGATGGTTATAAGGAGACAGAGCTATATCAAATAAAAGAAAAGTGCTTGTTCTGAAGTAATTTTTCACAAATGAGTATATGGCAGCTGAGGTAAAGGCAAATGGGGGCAGGAGTTACAGAAATAAATGGGGCTAAAGGAAGCCAGGAAATGAGACCTTGAAAGGTGAGAGGGTGCCAAAGATTGGCTGTGCCTATTCATAGTTTTTTTTTTAAAGATTTTTATTTATTTATCTTTAGAGGGGAAGGAGAGAGGGAGAGAAACATCAATGTATGGTTGCCTTTTGTGCTTTCCCTGCTGGGAACTGGCCTGCAGGAAACCAGCCTGCAACCTAGGCATGTGCCCTGGCTGGGAATCCAACCGTGATCCTCTGGTTCACAGGCCTGTGCTCAATCCACTGAGCTATACCAGCCAGGGCTCTATTCATAGTTTTTGCAAGGATCAACACTAACTTGATTATTAAGTTGCTCTCTAAGAACAACTTACTCCTCCAGTCCAGAGTTATTTAAACCATGGTTTTTCCATCCATTTATGGATTAAAATATCAGTTTAGTGAGTAGTAAATCAGGTGAATGTTTTTTCCAAACATAAGAAAATAAGTAGAATAGAATATATTTAGAGGGTATCACATAGTAGGGCTGAGTGTTGTCTTGTGAAACTCTAGTTTCAGAGGGTGTGTGTATATTGGCTTATGGTGTAAAATATTTTTCTCATTGAAGGAGGCTCTAATAGAGTGAGCAGCTGATAAAAAAAGATGAAATAATTTTGCCATGTAAATCATAAGGCTTTCAAAGAATGAGATACATTACTTTCCCCCACCAACTTATTCTTATGTACAAGATCCCTTAGCCCTTATTGCTACAAAAAAGGAAAAATAGAAAAAGAATTGATGCTGAATCTGTCTCACTTCAATAATAAATCATATACACCCTCAGATTCATGAACAAATAGAAAAAAAGCTCATCCATCTCATTAAGAGATACATTTCAAGTAAATTTTTTATGTTTAATAATTATCAGTATTCGTACTTTATGTCTTGATTTTACATGTACTAATAATAATGGAAATTAGATTTCAATGCAGAAGAAAGCTTTGAACACTTAAAGCCTTAAGGTCACAAGAAAAAAAATTAATTTCAATAGCCATACATATTTTGTTGCTGCAAAGAAACATGGGCACATCAACAGAAGAGCTTTTAAACATGTTGCATTAAGATAAAGTTCTATAGAAAAAGTGGAATGGGAGCTGGGGTTCAAGGAATAAAAAGAAACAGTAAAGCTCTGACCACTAGGGAAGAATTTTTGTATGTATTTTTTAATGGATGATTTCAAAGACACCTTCTTTGAAATCTAGATGACACTAGATGCATATGTGAGAGTGAAATAATTGTTGTACTAAAAAAATAAGTGTTTCTAGATTGTTAAATGTCATATATTTTCCAACCTAGAAGCATGAAAAACTTTAAGAATCAAATTAATATAAGAGAGGGTACATACTGCATCACAATTCTTTTAGGAGAAATAAAAGCAAAAAAAAATAGTTTGAAGATCAACTAAGTATTTTGCTCTGATCAGGGATCTCTGAATGAAGCAGGGGAGATCCAGGGCCCTAGTTAGGGTTTGCTTAAATGAAGTAGCATAAGAGGAAAGATGAGCTTTTTTCTTAAAATGCCTGCACTATAGCATAAACCTTGAAGGTAGGGTTTTTAGCACCTTCTTTAATGTCTGGGCAACTGTTCATGTTAAATATAATGAAAAGAGAACTGATTAACTGATTTCAAAAGCATAGGGGAAAAATATGAGGTACAATGGCTAGCGAGTCCAGAGAGTGAGTAGCAGGAGACTGCAGCTTTTGAAAAGCCAGGTTGCAAGTGCAAAACTGTGAGTAATCGGTCTAAGAAAGGGCAGGAAAATGGCTAAGGAAAAGAGCACAGTGGCCCTCAGGGACTGGGAGAGCCCAGGAATTGAGCCCACAGGTTGAGAACTGTCCTGTAAAGAATTCCCAACAGACACAGAGCAAGTACTAGGAATGGAAGGACCAAATCAATCTGGAGGCCTGGTAAAGCATGAGGGTGAGGGTGGAATGAGCTGAGACTTACAGTAATACTTCAAGCCAACAAAAAGGCCCAAGGGACAGAGGGTGCAGCTGTAGCAAGTGGAGGAAGGAGGCAGCATAGCTTCCATTGTTCCTTTTAAGAGAAATTGTTTTCACCCTGAGAAGGGAAGGCAAAGGGTATAGGGGGAAACAGCCCGAGGGAAGGATGCTGATAGTGAAAAGATAACTGAATTCAGCCTGTAGGCCCAGACAAAACATTTGCGGAAAGAATTTCCTGATGGGACTTTGCTCTTGGTATCTTTTCTCCACTGGGGAAACAGAAGGTAATAAGGAAAGAAAATGATGAATTTCAAAAAAGGGAGGCGGGGAACTCCTGGGAATTATAACCTGTTTATAACCTGATGTTCCTCTCCAGGCCTTTTAATAGGCAAATTGATAGTAACCTGCCTGGCTTCTCAAAGTCCAAGGCACACAGAACTACATTTTTAAAAAACCTTAGTCACTGTCCTTGTGATGATAAAGTAGATAATACTATGTACAGCTTAATCTTTCTTTCAGAACTGCTAGTGTTGCCTGTAATTTACAAGCTGTATAGTCAGAGAAAATGGAAGCCATTTAAACCAGTGGAAATGTAAATCAAGTAATAGTAATTGTTTTAATGGAATAGACAAAGAAGCCAACCTGGGAACAGGGAGGCAAATCAGCAATTTGCAATAGCAGGAAGCTGACACCACCCTGGGCTGGAGGGAAAACAGGAAGTCAGTGTTAACTGAGCCCAGGGCAGAGTGACATGATGGACACTGGAATCCCAGTGGGCCTGTCCGGTGGTAGCTGGAGCTAGGGATGAGAGGTAGTTGTAACTGGAGAGCCCATTGTAGCACACAGCATTTGGGAGGAATACCCTAACTTTTCCCTCTTTCTCATCCTACATTCTTCCCACCATGCTCCTGTTGGCTGTCAAGAACCTGGGATACACAGCTGGCAAAGTCAGCCTTCCTGTAATAAGAAGCAAAGTAGAACTGAGGGGTGGACCTGAGCACAAACATGATCAGGACCCACACAGCACACAACTTGTTCATAAAGTAGTAAAATGTGGGTTGAATAATGTGTAGTTAACTGTAACTATAATAGACTAACAACTAGTATTTGTTGACACAGGGCCAGTAAAGGTTGACTGATGGTCTTAAGTCACCTGGAGATACTCTCCAATTGCCAAGGGTCTCTTCAAGCCAGCCAAGATGGGCAGTAGTGAATAGAAAGACTGGTAACTAGAACTGGGTTTGGCAATAATAATGTCCTGTGAAAATGAATGAAAGTAGACATGATTTGACCTCCAGTCAAGATGGCAGCATAGGTAAACATGGTTCACCACCTATCTCAACCACATCAAAATTACAACTAAACTATAGAACAACCATCACTCGAAACCATCAGAAATAGAGTTGAATGGAAAGTCTGACAACTATGGAATTAAAGAAACCTCATTCATACAGACATGGAATGGGCTGGTCCCACATCCATGTGTGGTGGATAAAAATCCAGGAGGGATATTTTGGAAGTGCAGAGTGCCAGCCCCACACCAGGCTCCCCAGCCCAGGGTTCCAGTGCCAGGAAGATAAGTCCCTATAACTTCTGGCTACAAAAACCAGCTGGGACTGAATCAGTAAAAGAAGCTTCTGGAGTCCCAAGCAGTATCTCTTAAAGAACCCACATACAGACTTACTCAGATTCACTCCCTCTGAGCTCCAGTACAGGTATAGCAAATTAAAAGGCACTAGTGGCATACAGGGAGGAACTGAAATGTCTGGCATCAAGGCGAGGGCTGTGGGAGAGCTTTCTCCTAGACAGAAAGACAGGCAGAGACCATTGTTCCTTTTCTGAACCCTTCCCCAACAGAGCCACAGAGCTGGCAGATGGGTGCCATAACTGAGACTCCATCAACATGGCTAAAACAGTTTTCACTACCCTGGAAATACCCTGATATTCCATTCCACCCAACTTAACCGGCCCAACCAAGCTGTTAATGGTGACTTTTCTATATGAATGCCTGACCTTGGCTCATGCTTCACAACTTCCTGAATTCTGTCAAACAAGCAACAGCCAGCCTCGGTGAGGCCCTAGCCCCTATATCTCCTGCTAAGTAGCCCCAGGCTTTGCATTAGCAATAGCCAGCCTAGATTCACAGCATGGCTTTGCCTGAGAATCTCTAAACCCAGCACAAGTAGCAGCCATCTGATTGCTTTATAGCTCAGGCAGGATGGCTCACGCAGAACACAGGTAGGGGCTGAACTTGGCTTTCACTACCTGGGAGCCCAAGAGCCTGTACACTCACTGGACAGCTATAGACCATGTTGGAGTACCACCACCCAAATCCTGCACAGCTGATCACAGAGGGTGGAGGTTGGTGGTCAGTGGACAGAGCCAGTCCTTGCAGCTGACTGGCCTGGTTCAATTCCTCCCACTGACCTGCCAACAGCAATCAAGGCTGAACTCAAGAGGAGGGTATACTCAGCCTGAATGAAGGGTGCATCTCAAGTATCCAGTTTAGGTGATAGTGGACACTGTGCCACTGGACCCTACAGGGGTCTAGTAGGCCACACTACCACGATACAGAGTCAAAGCAGCTCTACCTAATACATAGAAACAAATGCAGGAAGGCTATCAAAATGAGGAGACAAAGAAACAAGGGCCAGATGAAAAAACAGATTAACACTCCAGAAAAGGAACTAAATGAAATGGAGATAAGCAATCAGATAAGAGTTCAAAACATTGGTCATAAGGATGCTCAAGGAACCAAGTGAGGACCTCAGCAGCATAAAAAAATTCCAGTGAGAAATGAAGGATACACTAATTGAAATAAAGAACAGTTTACAAGGAAACAATAGTA